TTATGATCAAAGAAATTGCTGCATGTGAGTAATGGAGAAGCTTCCCCTTCACCACCATTCACCTGCTATAGGATCTTGGGAAAATTACTGGGTTCATGGGCAAAGAGAGACCACTGGACTAGATTGATGATGTCTGCGGTCTCTTCTGCTCTAACATTCTGTGCTTCCTTTATTCTATGATGTTTTAGCAGAAATGGAATATTGTTGCTTTTCAGTAATCAGTTGCAAACTACTCTTTCTGACCCCATTTGAGGTTTTCTTGGTAAAGATACTGGAGTGGTCTGCCGTTTCCTTCTCCAGTAGATTAAGGCAAATAGAGGTTAAGTGACTTACCCAGGGTCACACAGCTATTAAGTTTATCTTTGGTCACATGTGAACTCAAGTCTTCCTGATTCCAGGCCCAGCACTCTATCCACTGAGTCACCTAGCTGCCTCAGATGGAATGTTAGGAAAGTACAATGATAATAACAGCTGGCATTTATATAGCGCTTTAAGATTCTTCACAACAACTCTGAGAAGTAGGTTCTATTAGTATTGCCATTTTACAGAAAAGGAAACTGAGGCATACAAAGGTTGAGTGACTTGCCTAGGGTCACACAGCTAGTAAATGTGGAAGGCTAGATTTGAACTAAGGTCTTCCTGACTCTAGGCCCAACTTCTATGCACTGCACACTGTAGCTACCTGTGTCAAACTGTTGTCCATTAAAAGAAAGGGATGCAGAAGAAAAAAATTGATTTGGGAAGAGGATGGCCTGATTGGGAGCTGTTCCACTCTTGTACTTGGTGGGATGTCCAGAAGAGTTCATTATTAAGTCAGTAGCACATAGAGGCAAGTAAAAAGAAGAGATCTTTCTTCAAGTGACTCAAGTAATGAGATTTAGAAAGAAAGGGTGAAATGCAGAGAGGAATCTTCCTAGCAAAAAATCCCAACACTGATTTGGAGCTCGACAGTACCTGCACAGTCAGAATTAGTGGGGTATTGTGCGATGAACCCTGGATCTGGGGCTGGGGGTCTTGGGTTTGAATCCTGGGCTCTGTTACTGATTGAGTGACCTTGGGAAAATAGCACCAGTGAAGTAGTGTCAAATGCAAACAGAAATAGATCCCTCTGGGCCACATATTGACTTAGAAAACCACAAATTAACATTATTTATGTTTTATTATATTTGTTTATTTTGTTAAACTCTTTCCAATTACATTTTCATCTAGTGCTAGAGAGGCAGTACTAGAGAGCAATTGTCAACCCCCAGCCAAACCTTGGGGGCAGCTAGGTAGCCAAGTAGCTGGACCTAGAGTCAGGAAGACCTGAGTTTAAATCTGAGCTCAGATACTTACTGGCTATGTGACCCTGGGCAAGTCATTTCACCCTGTTTGCCTCAGTTTCCTCATCTGTAAAATGAACTGGAGAAGGAAATGGCCAACCACTCCAGCGTCTTTGCCAATAAAACTCCAAATGGGGTCCCAAAGAGTTGGACACAACTCAACAACAACAATAACAACAACTCAGGCCATGAGTTTGACTGTTGCAGTGGACGGGGTATTGTACTTGGAGTCAGGAAGACCTGAGTTCAAATTCTCCTTCTGATACTTATTAGCCACATGGCCATAGGAAAATCTCTATTCCTCAGTTTCCTTATCTGTAAAATGTGGGGGTTGGGCATGATGGCCTTTAAGCTCCTGTGAGGCCTTAGATCTTCGATTCCATGAATATATTCTAGATGCTGCTTTATTTGTTATCCTAAGTCACTTAATTCACTGGGCCTCAATTTCCCCTTCTTTAAAATGAGGGGATTGGATTAGATGATTTCTGGTCCTTTAGGACTCTATCTCCTATGAATCAAAATGCTCTTAAATTTTTATACAAAAAGTTGTTTTCATTTTTATTTGCTAAAATAGGTATGTCCCCTGGTATGTGTCCAGGCTCTGCCCCTGACCACCTTGGGCAAAGCACTGTACCCCTTCAGGCCTCAGTTTCTTCCTTGGTAAAAAGTGGGGGGCTGGGCTGGGTGAGGACCATTCTCATTCTTAATCTATGATCCCACTTTGAGAAGGGGTCAGTATGTCCTAAAATCGAACATGGGGGTGCTCAGCACTCCCAAAATTGGAAGTCAATGACTGACCATTCTTAGCGCTGATCCTTCCCAAGGGGCAGAGGGCCCTCCCTCATATTGGAGTGTCTGATTGATCTGTTTGCCTGAGTTGAACAGGGAGAAACATTGTCTTTATTACATAGCGGGATCAATAGACAGGTCCTAGAATGATGAAAAAGGAAGGAATGTGCTCTGCAGGTTTAGTAGAGGCTAGCGACTTGGTGGTTGTTTTGGGATGATTGTCTTCTATTTCATTTTGAGTTAATTCAATTCAGTTAGCATTTTTAAAGCATCAATTATGTACAAGACACTTGAGGAAGTTCTGAAGATACAAAGACAAAAGCTAAATGGGCCCAGCCCTCGGGGAACTTTCATTCTGCTAGATTTATAAGCTACTTATGGAAAGCCCCTCGAAAGGGAAATGATTTCATACCCAGGGGTCAGGCTCTCAAAAGTCTGGATAAAAAAAGACTTTCATTGTTTGGTCGTTTCAGTTGTGTTTGACTCTTTGTGACCTCCTGGTGTGCCATTTCCTTCTACAGCTCATTTTACAGAAGAGGAAACTGAGGCAAGCAGGGTTAAATGACTTGCCCAGGCTTACAAAGCTAGTAAGTGTATGAGGCCAGATTTGAATTCCTGAAGTTGAATCTTCCTGATTCCAAACCTAGTGCTCTATCCATTGCACCACCTAGCTGCCCTGGGTGTTATTATTATTTCCATTTTTCAGCTGAGGAAACTGAGGCAAACAGGACTAAGCGACTTGCCTAGGGTCACATAGTTAGGAAGTATCTGAGGCCAGATTTGAACTCAGGAAGATGAGTCTTCCTGACTCAAGACCCAGCACTTTATCTGCTCTGTCACCTAACTGCCAAAAGAGATCCAAAATAATATTCTTGTAGAAACATTTTTAAAAATGTTTTTGGATTTGGAGATCTCTGAATTCTCACAAAGAGAACACCTCAAATACACTCTAGTCAGGGCTAGTCCTCCAGTCTCTTGGACTCCTGGCCCTTGGGAGCATCTTAACAATTCCAGCTACACAAGGCCAGACCAGCTCTAACAAAGAAGGAAAAGAAAACTAGGTCAAAGCGGGGTTATCTGTCTGCCTGATGCCAAGCGTCCATCTCAGGAGACTGCTTGTATTGATTGAGCGCTTTGGTGACTCATTCCTGGAAACAGTCAAATTGTCAAAGATGCTGTGACTCATGCACTGTTACCCGGCTACCAACTGTCAAAGGCTGGATTTGAGTTTAGGTCTTTGAGAATCCAAGTAAAGCACTCTATCCATTACTTCATGCCGGTAACAGCCTATTGGTTAAAAACAAAACAAAATGGGGGCAGCTAGGTGGTGCAGTGGATAGAGAGCACCGGCCCTGAAGTCAGGAGGACTTGAGTTCAAATCCAGCCTCAGACCAAACACTTGACATTTACTAGCTGTGTGACCCTGGGCAAGTCATTTAACCCCAGTTGCCTAAGAAAAAAAGAAAAATGGGCTGTCAAGTTATGTGGACCTATTATTGATCAGAGAGAAGAGCAACCTGCCCTCAGAGTCAGGAACGACGACAATAATAATAACTAGCATTTTCATAGAGCTTTGCAGAGCTCAACACATTCTTCTTTGAGCTTTTCCGGAATCTCAGGAGGCATTCCCATTTTACACATGAGGAAATTGAGGCTGAGAGAGGTTAAGTGATTTGCCCAGGGTCACACAGCTAGTAAGTAGATGAGGCAAGATTTGAATTCAGTCCAACACTCTTACAGATGCACCATTTAGCTGCTACTGTATACAGTAGCTTAACGACTCTTGGCAAGTCATTTCATCTCTGCCCAAGCCAACTATTTAAGACAACTCGCTACAAAGTACTTGATCATACACATTAGTGGATTGAGTTTCTTCCAGGAAACTCCCTAAACCAGTGAAACCAGAGTCACACGGAGAGGTATGCGGAAGCCAGCTCTAGCTGTCTTGTATTGATTATTAAATTTTCATTGTAAACTGCTAGGACAGGTAAGTGGCACAGTAGATAGAGCACCAGGCCTGGAGTCAGAAAGACTCATCTTCCTGAGTTCAAATCTGGCCTCAGATATTTCCTAACTATGTGACCCTGGGCAAGTCACTTAGCCCTGTTTGCCTCAGTTTCCTCATCTGTAAAATGAGCTGGAGAAGGAAATGGCAAAACCACTCCAGTGTTTTTGCCAAGAAAACCCCAAATGGAGGCACAAAGAGTTGGACATGACTAAAAACAACTGAACAACAGCAACATATATTTACACCTCAGACATTGGCAATCACTACAAATCACGGCTTGAACTACTGTTTTGTTTCTTGCTCTAGACTTAAGTGTTAATGACTCAGATCAAATTAGAAAGCATGCGGCAATACATTTCCCCCCCAAAAAGCCCAGTTGTTAAACATTTAACAACAGACTCTATTTTACTCTATAAACATTGCTTGAACTCAGCAGGAGCACAGTAGGATTGCAGGGGGATGGAACCTGCGGCCTTGAGGCCACATGTGGCCCTCTAGGTCCTCAAGTGCAGCCCTTTGACTGAGTCCAAGTTTTACACAACAAATCCTTTTATTAAGGGGATTTATTCTGTAAAACTTGAATTTAGTCAAAAGGCCAAACCCAAGGATCTAGAATGTGGCCTCGAGGCTGAAGGTTCCTCACCCCTGGCTTAGGGAATGAAGTCAGCTAATAATAATAATAATAGAAACTCATATAACGCTTTAAAGCTTGCAAAGTGCTTTACACCATCATCCCATTTGATTTTTATCACACCCCTACACACATTGATCAAGAAACAATTAGCAAAATTAACATCTGCATAGACCTAAATCAGAAGATCATTGCCTGTGATAAACACTTACTACATGTTTGTTGAATGAATATCTCCTCTGTTCCCCAGGAACTATCTCAAAGACAGAGACTTGTGGAGTAGCTGCCTAGAACCTATCAATATTGTGCCCTGGAACCTAAGTCTCTTCTCCATCCAGCTCATCATAAGCAGCATTCAGATGTTACTCTGCGGCATTCAGGTGGTCAAAAGTTTCTTTGAAATTATCTGTGAAAAGTGTCGATGCCATGAGATCTGTGGGGTAGGTTAATTGTTTGTTATTTCCATATTACATCACAACCTTCTGAGTCACCTCAGGAGGAGGGGGCTGTTGTATCAAGAGACTCATATAGACTTTACCTCCATCTACAAACCAGCAGGGGCAGTCCACCTGACTGGCATGGTCATGGCCATGGCCAGAGGTCATTGGTTGGGTTCTAGAAGGGCTGCTTTTGCTCCCTGTACATCATTAAGATCACCTGTGGTGAACCAGGTGGCCCAAATTGTCTCATCTGCCATCTAATTCCCTGTGGAAATACAGAGAAAGAATAGGTGAATGTCCAGACAGTTTCCAAGAACACAGCACATCACTGTCAGATCCTAAGTGTCTTATTTCATCAGATTCCTCCACAGATCTAGAGATTATCTAGAGATAATTGAATTGATGGTCATTTACAAAGGTTTTTTATAGTTCTTCCCTCACAGAGCACATCAATTCAAAACCAAAATGTATGACTGAATTCAATGTGAGAGAATTGAATATCATTGTGAAGGAATTAACTCATAGGAGGCTCAGTGAGATCATGGTGTAATAAATAGAACTTGGATATGGTATCAGGAAGACTTGAGTTTCAATCTTGCTTCAGACTCTTGTGAACTATGTGAACTTAGGTAAGTCATGTAAGGTCTCCAGGACTCAGTTTCCTCTTCTGGAAAAGGAGGGGTTTGGACTTGATCTCTGAGGTCACTCCTGGATCTGAATCTATGACCCTATAGTCCTATTTTCCTATGAGTCTTTGAGTGTGACAGAGACTATGTCCGTAAAGTAGAAACTATTGAATGCAAATAGCTTGATCATTTATTTTATCCATTTATTGGCAAAATCAAGTCAGTGAATACCTATTATTAAGAAGTAACAAAAATTATAACAAACTAAACGTTGAATGATCAAAAACTCTTATGGGTCAGACACAGTGTGATACATTATGAGTGATAAAAACCTCCGTTTCCCCCACAATGACTTTTTGTTTTCAAAGAATAAGCAATTTTGGTGTTCTCTAAACAATTACTGCCTTTATCAGGAGATAGCTTTATTCAGAGTATAGAATGCTTTAAACAGTTGTGAAATACCTCCTCATTCACTTTGCATGAGCCCTAGATGCAAGGTAGAAAATAAGAAATGTTCATTCATTTTTCTTCCTTATGTGAGACCTGGGTTAAATTGGTATCAATAGGAAAGTTTTTCTCATTCACAAGCATAAGAAGTACATGATATGACAATATTTTCCAAAATCTGAGGGCTCTGGGCTAAAGTATGGTTTTATTTATATGGTACCATCAAGACACTGCTTATAGTCAATTTTATTTTATTAAAAAAAACCTACCATGATGGTCAAACAAAACAGTCCTGACATTTTAATGACTAATAAGAGGCAGCATGGTACAGTGGATAAAGGACCTGACATGGGGTCCTGGATTCGAGTCCTGCCTTAGACACATACACATGAGCAGGAGTAAGTGACTGTCCCTGGGCAACTCCTTTAACTTATTAAGTTACAGAGGAAATCACTGGCCTCTACTGATGGAGGGAGTTTCTACATAGGGACTTCCCCACCCTTTCTGATGAAATCACTGGCCCTACCACAACAAGGGCTAGATTAGTAAGGGCATTCATTAGTAACTTAATTTTTTTGAAGCTCAACCATTTGAGGGTTAAGAAAAGAAAAGGAATAGATTCAAAAGTAGCCATTCATGGGGGTGTGGTGTGTAAATGGACAAAAAAAGAACATCTTGGTTTTAGCAGAAATAAGTTTCAGAAGAGGAGGAGAAGGCAAATCTGGTAATCATGTACCTGTTCATGTGTTGAGGGTGAAGGGATGAAAATCAAAAAAGGAAGAATGAGTTAGCAGAGTAATTTATGAGCCTTTTCTCTTTCCTAGGGGAAAACAACTACTTAGAGCTGTGATGAGCCCTTTGGAATACTCCACCGTTTTGGATAAAGAGCCATTATCTCTGGAAGGTTCCTCATCCCTGACACATTGCTCTGGGAGGTCTTAGGACAAGGCAGCTTTGCCATATACAGGCCATGGCTTATTAAAATTCCATCTTAGAAACTTCATTTAAGAAAAAAGACAAAATAAAGAAAATTATTAAGTTGTTCAAGAGTAATGCATATGGACGTTTTAACTTTAAAAAATGTTTGGTAGTAGCAACTTGATAGTGTAAGTTAAACATTTTTTAGACTTGGCCCCTTTTTTGAGATCTGGGGCATGACCCAAGCTCAATTCCCCAAATCTTTTGTTTTGACGGCAACATTAAATGCCTGATGGGACTTGGATGGCTCCCTCTGGTACATGAGGCACCATGCACATACACACTCTAGGTACAAATGGAATCTGAGAACTCTTTGGGATTATCTCTGCCATGTTGAAATAAGCAAATCAAAGTTGGAAGGCACGTTGGAAGTCTAACCTAGCCACTTCATCTGAAAGATGAGGCCAGTGGGACACAGAATTGGATTGACTTGCTAGAGTCATATGTCGTTAGTGGAAAAATTAGGATTTCAAACCATGGTCTCCTCACTACCTTTCACAGTGATCTTTGCACTGTCTCACTATGTCTAGGAAATACACAGAACTCTGGTGGGGTAAACATAGCCCCCAAAGTGGAAAATATGAGCAAAGCTCATTCTCTTATCATCATTAAGAAGAGACATAACAACATTTGAATCAGTCTGTTTTCTCTAACTAGTGAAGAGAGAAATCCTCTCTATTTTGAGAAACACGTCACTTGAACCAGACCTTTTCTGTTTCCTACAAACAATTTTTTGGGTAAGTAGGAAAATAGAGATCAATGTCAGTCAGCAAAATAGCCACTGTTAAAAAGTATGAAGACAACTAAAATCAAAGCCGATACTGAATTTAAACTTCTTTAGTGAGGCACTACCAGCAAAGTCTGGGTCATAAAGCTGGTACACCATCTTCCGTGAGTCTCATCAAATAAATCAGTTGTCCAAGTTGGCTCACAAGGGTAAAACCTGCAGATCTGGGGTCTGGGTATTGACCCTCCACCATGAGGTCAAAAGGAGGGCGCCATCTTGTCCTGATGAGCATAAGGTGCTAGATGTGGCGATGAGGGTGGCATCCCCAGTGCCTATTGCACTCTACGAATGGGACTTTCCAGAGACATCTCAACTTGAAAACGTCCAAAACATCTCACCAATCAACCCCCTTCTAAATCCCTCTATTTCTTCTCTAAGGGGCCACCATTCTTCTAGTCTTCCAATTTCCAAACATGCCTCATCCTTTAGATCCTCACTCTTTCTTACCCCACATAGTTAATCAGTTGTCAAATCTTGCCATTTCAACCGCTACCATCTTTCTCACCTCTGACCCCTTCTCTTTATTCACAGGGGCATTTCACAGGTCAGACCCTCATATACTCTTTTTTTTTTCCCTTTGGTGAGGCAAAAGGAGTTAAGTGAACTGCCCAGGGTCACACAGCTAGTAAGTGTCAAGCTTCTGAGGCATGATTTGAACTCAGGTCCTCCTGACTTCAAGGCTGGAGCTCTGTCCACTGCTCCACTCAGCTGCCCCCACCTTCATATACACTTGCCTGGACTATTTGCAATAGCCTCCTAATGAATTTCATTGTTCCAGGTTATTCTTTCTTCCAATCCATGCTCCACATTGCTGCCAAAGTGATTTTTTTTAAGTGTAGGTCTGACCATGTTGCTCCTTTGCTCATTAAACTCCAGTAGCTCCCTATTACTTCTAGGGGAAAAAAATAATTTCCACTGTTTGGCTTTTAAAGTCCTTCACAAGCTGGCCCCAACCTATCTTTTTAAGCCTCATTATATAACCCCTCTTCTGGTACTATCTGAGGCAGTGTTCAGGGAGTAATAGCATCTCTGGTGTGATGGCTGCCGAGCCCCTTTCAGGGCTGCTCATTCATTTTGGGGTCCACCTGCCACCCAACTCTCACCTATGGCTCCAATAAGATTAGGCAGTTTAGGTAGTGGTCACATCCCCGTAAAACCATCTCCTCAGAGAGGCTAAACTAGGTTGAGGGTAACCAACAGGCCTCAAACCCATCAGTGAGTTAGGGGGTGTCTACCCCAAGCATGTGAAGACTTCCCCGGGTGGAATGGGCAGATAAGAACAATTTGTTCCAAGAGCCATGAAGGTGGCTGAAGTAGGCATTGTGGAGCACTTAGAGCTTGGTCTGGCATCTAAGATGCTAAGGTCATCCACTGCTTCCTGGGCTATCGCTAGTCATGGTGACTTTTGTCTTGCCACTGGACTTTGATAACTCTGGAAGAGAGTGTGGCTAATGACTCTGTGCAACTCTGCCTCACTTAAATCCAGTTCACGAGCAAGACAAGACACCATCCTGTGATGTCATTGGTCCTCTTAGAAAGAAAGACAAATAGCTATGTGAGGGGGCTCTGCCAACACTCCTAGTTCAGGCTCAACGTTGGGATGAAATGAGGCATTGAATGGTTAACAAAAGTAGGTTTACTTTGCCCCAACACAGTAAGGATATTCAACAAGCACCTGGCTTCTCTCAGCATTCCCCACTCCCTCCCCATTTCCATATGGAAATATATTTGGTCATCAGGGTGAAGGTGAAGGACCTGGTGACTCACCAGGTCCTCATAAATCCTTCAGGGCACCAGGAAGCTGTGTGAAGGAACTTGGGGCTTATCAGGTCCCAGCTTTGTCTCTTTTTAGGGAGGAGGTGGTGCAGTGGATAGGGTTCCGGGCCTCGAGTATGGGGGACCCAAGTTCAAATCCAGTTTTAGATACTTACTAGCTGTGTGACCCTGGGCAAGTCACTTAACCCTGTTTGCCTCAGTTTCCTCATCTGTAAAATGAGCTGGAGAAGGAAATGGCAAACCACTCCAGTATCTTTGCCAAGAAAACCACAAACGGTGTCACTAAGAGTCGTATAAGACTGAAACGCCTTAACTACAAAGGGCCTACAGAAAGCTTGGAATCTGCTGACATAACCTCGAGGACCCTGGGTCAGCTCCACGGCAAGGAGCAACTTTATCTATTTTGTCAACAAGCAAATGAGAACGTTCCAGGTGCAAGGGATAAACGTTCAATTGTCAGTCCCTGACTTCAAGAAGCTTATATTCTACTAGGAGAATACACCAGACCCCAGAGATTAAAAGGGGAAAAAAAGGATAAGTACACATAATTCTCAGTAACTGAGTGGAGGCACAAATATCTGGAAGAAGGGGGGCGGTGCGTGGAGGAAAAGACCTTGCTGGAGGTGGAACTTAAGTAGAGCCTTACATAGGAGGTCCTCTTTTCTCTGGATCTGATTAGTTTACATCGTCCACCCGCCCCCGACTTCCCTTGGAGTCGGGAGAGACTTCTGATCACCTCGATTGCTGTTTGTCCTTGGTTCTCGTAGAAGACCGTGACATCAGGGAGCTGATGCCATGACATGCAAGTGAAATGGATTTGCTAATCCAGAGGAGGTAACTGAAAGTCCAAGGTCACACAGCTGGTAGGTAGCAGGGCCAGATTTCGAACCCAGAGCCAGCAGCTCGACGTCGCGCCCCTCCAACGCTCCCTCCCCACCCCCGTCCCGGACCCCACCCAGGGAACCCCCATAACGGCCTCTCCAGGCGTTCCTGAACTTGCTGTCTAGACTTCTCTCCGCATCAGACGCTCTGCAGAGGTTCGTGTTCAATCGGAAAGAAACCCCGGTAAAAGGCGGCAAGAAGATACAAAATATGTAGAAAGTAGTCATTATTTCTGGGGTGGAGTGGAAGGGGCTAATAACTGGGAGCGGGGGAAGCTTCCTGCAGGCGGCGGCCTCAGGGCAGAGCCTTCTGACCTTCTCCCGCATCTGAGCTAAAGGCCGATGGGGAGCTCCAGAAGGCTGACCCTTCCCCCAGCCCCACGTCCCACCCCGCCCCCAGTCCCGGGCTCCCTCTGGGACAGGGGTTCTTATCCTTTTCTTTGTCAATCCCTTGGCAGGCTGGTGAAGTCTCTGGGATCCTTCTCAGAGTAGATAAAAACCAGAGAGGATTATAAAGGAAATCAATTACATCAAAATACAGCTATCACAATACTTTGTCACAGACCTCAAATTAAGAAGCCCTGGTCTAAACTGCAGCAGACACCCAGAGAAATGAACACTTTCTCATCATCTAGATGCCTGGCTAGGCTTTTTCTAAGAAACCAAGCAATGTACCCTGCCACTAATTCAACAATGCATTCATTACGTGCAAGGAATGATTCTAGGCACTGGGGCCGCAAAGACTCTCCGAGAACCAAGGACAAACAGCAAGTCCCTGCCCCAGGCACTTAGATTCCAGTGTGGGGGATCCCACGTGTCCCTAGAGAAGCCAATACAGGTACATACAGAGTTATATGAAGACATTTCAAGAGGCAGACTACTAAAGGGGCAATTGGCAAAGACCAAGGAGGATTAAGGGATGTCTCGATCCCGAGCTCTGCTTGAAGAAAGATGAGGAATCGGAGAGTTGCAAGACAGTAGGCAGGGGTGGAATTTCAGGTATGGGGAATTGCTGGCAGGCCAGTTTGACTGGAATGGATTCTGTGTGTGTGTGTGTGTGTGTGTGTGTGTGTGTGTGTGTGTGTGTGAGAGAGAGAGAGAGAGAGAGGGAGGGAGGGAGGGAGGGAGGGAGAGAAGAGAAGAGAAGAGAAGAGAGAGAGAGAAGAATAGGGCAATGTATTCCCAGACACAGGACCCAGTGGCATCAGCCTCTACATACAGCATACTTGCCTCTCCATTTCATGAAGCAATTACATCAGCAAAGCTGTTTTGTCAAGCTTCCTCCAGATCTCAAGGATAAAATCTGGGCACAAAAGGAAATTCCAAGTTGGGTGAAAGAGGGTTTTGGGGAGAAAAGATGGGGGTAGGGAGGGACTAGTAGCCCAAAGAGGAAAAGCTGGAAGGGAACCTTACAGCCTAGGAGGGAAGCTGGCTATGTATATACATGCACATATACATATAATGCACACACACATATATACACACACATACACACAGCCATTACAAAATTCATCAACTGCTACTTTTTGATTGCTTTCTCACAACAACTTAAAATTTTTTTTGTCTCAAGTTTGGACTGAGTGCTGCATGGAGTGATCCTGTTTGATTACACAGTAGACTTAGCCCTCTCCAAATATTCAACAGGAGAAAACCGCGTGGTTCTGGGTAATCATGATGTTAACATAACTGTTCAAATTCCATCTCAAGGTTATGTTTCTTCTTACATATATTTTAGCAGTTGATTTTATTTTATTTTTTGGTGAGGTGATTGGGGTTAAGTGACTTGCCCAGGGTCACACAGCTAGTAAGTTATCAAGTGTCTGAGGCCGCAGTTGAACTCAGGTCCTCCTGACTCCAGGGCCGGTGCTCTATCCACTGCACCACCTAGCTGCCCCTAGCAGTTTATTTTAAAACAAAGTTCTTTTCCTACTCCTATTAGGAGTAGTATCATCCATAACAGTCGCAATGTCCCCCATCCATTGATAATTAATAGCAATCTCTTCCTTTGCTCTAACACACTTTTCTCACCTTTCTTCATTAGACACTCCTTTTGGAAAGGGTCTGAAACAAACAACGTACTTTACACAAGCAAAGTCTATGAGAAATATTTGTCTGCTATCTGAACTAGCTTCTGCCCAAAAGGCACTCTGCATGCCTCTTTTCTCCCAGAATCTTTGAAAGCACCCTAATTGGCATGAGGATTCTTGTGATAAAATAACACCTTGAACTGTACTAAAATGGGCTTTTATCAGCCTATCTAGTATTAAACTACTGAGTACTATGTAAATGCAGAGAGGGAAGAAACCCTGATATGCAGCGTGCCCCAAAAGTCTTAGTGTAGTTTTAAGTTAACAAGGTATGCTATTACTAGAAATGAGAATATTCTTTATTCAATGCATTTCTGGTCATCCAGCTAGCACTTCTAAGGATGGAGGAACTTAACTATTTTGCATGATGTTAACCAGCTCTAATTTTTTTTTTTTAAGTTTTATTGTGCCAAATTCAACCTCCCTAGTTTTTTTTCCCCCATGAGAATAGTAAGGAGAATGTTGAGGGTCAAGAGAACTGGGTTCAAATCCAGCTTAAGACACTGACCTAGCTATGTGATCATGGGCAACTCACTTGTTCTCTCAGAGTCAGTTTTCTTAGCTGTAAAATGGGAATATTGTCTGTACCACCTATCTTACAAGTAAGAAAGTATTTTTCAAATTCTAGAGCAGGGGTGGGGAGCCTGCAGCCTCGAGGCCACATGTGGCCCGTGACTGGATCCAAACTTCACAGAACAAATATTTTTATTAATCGAATTTGTTCTGTGAAGTTTGGATTCATTCAAAGGGCCGAGCTTGAGGACCTAGAGAACCACATGTAGCCTCGAGGCCACCGGTTCCCCTCCCTGCTCTAGAGCTTTCCATAATGCTATTGTAGTTATGGTTACCCAGGATCCGTCTACACACTCTTTCATGTGGAAGCCGTTTGGATATTTGGAGATGGCTCTTATGTCCACTCTGGAACCAAGTGGGATCACCTACTGCTGAGCTCAGTCCACACTTGAGACAAGTGTTTGTAGAGAAGGAGCAAATACAGTAGTTGGTGAAATGTGTAATTGTCTTGTCAGGTCCCTGGGTTTGAGTTTCCCTTTTAGCTTTTCTCCTTTCAGCTCTTAGCATCTTCCACCCAAACCCAGACCTTCCTTATTCCTGAGTTGGGAGAAGAGGGCCTTTGAGGATGTTATTGTCTCATGCCCTGGGGCAGCTAGCATGCCAGACGGGTCAAGGAACAGGGTTGAAGAGGATAATTAACCCCTCCCCCTTGGCACACAATCAGTTCCAGTGAAACTGGCCCAACTATTTACTGTTCTACCTTGGTGGAAGCTACTTCACTTATTGGGCCTCAGTTTTCTCATCTGTAAAATGGAGGTGGGGGTTGTTGTCCTGAATCTTATGGACATAATTTAACCCAGGCTGTAGGTGAATCTGTGACACTTACTCGGCATGTGTGGTAGTTGTTACAAGTGGGCTTTTTGTGTTTTTCTTTTCGCCATAGTGTCTGAGCATAGGAGGATGTGAGCGGTAGCAGAGCAGACCTACAGATGAGCCCTCCAACTTTATCCAGTGATTGTAGCAATGTGAAGGCCTTGTCCTTGCCGGTACCTTATAAACAGAAGTATGCAACTGATCTCCTTGGTGAAGTACTGCTTGGTAAGCAGTCAAATTTATGGAGATGCAAAGGAAAGTAAAACCTGCCAGGGAGAACATAACAAATTCTTTGGGCAGTTCTGCCTGCATCGGTCAGACATCCTTCCAGGATGCATTTTGTAGGCTCATTATATCCCATCCTGCCCCCAGCCTTGGAGACAGCATTATCAGGACAGGAGAAGTCTTGGCTGGGGGGGGGGGGGGCGGCTCATTTCTCTTGAGCACAGCCTTATCTGCCTGCCTGGCTGCAGGATGTGTGATGGCTACTGCATGGGGAGGACCCTAGTCAACGCTGCGTCCCTCGAAGCCCCAGCTAGCATTCCTGTTTTCTTCCCTGGGGCCCGGGATTAGAGAAGTCACAAATTACCCTGGAGGCTGGTGCTGGGGAGGACTTACAAGAGGCAGGGACACGGTGAGTAAATAAATCGAATGTACTCCATTCACGTTTGCCCTTCAGGAGGCCTTGGGCTTCCTCCTGCCCTTTGTGTTTCTTTTCTTTTCTTTTCTTTTCTTTTCTTTTCTTTTCTTTTCTTT